CGCGCCGCCGCCCGGCCCCGCTGCCGGCCCCGCCGGCCTTAAGAACCAAGGCAACGAGCTGTTCAAATGCGGGCAGTTCGCCGAGGCGGCGCTCAAGTACTCGGCCGCGGTAGCACAGCTGGAGCCAGCAGGTAGGCGAGCTGCGCCCCGCGGGTTCCTCGGATGCCTGGGCTGCGGCTCTCGGGACCCAAAGAGGCCACCTCCTGAATGACAGGCACTTACGTCTGTACATTCCTTCCTGGTGACCGAGGGGTGTGTGACGGGATCTGCGCGAGCAGCCTACCTCGGAATGTGTAGCATGTGCCCAGGCGAGGCGGGTTTGTCCCCTCGCGGGCTTTCCCGCTGTGGCCATTGCAGGCACACACGGCTCCTCGGAGCTCTGCTTTATTAGCAGGATGTAGGGCTGCAGTGCCCCTGGAGACCTCAGTCGTCTTGAAATTCTGGTGAACTTGATTTTGCTAATGGATTTTAATTGTATTTAATTAAATGTGATTTTAGGAAGTGGAAGTGCGGATGATCTAAGTATCTTATATTCAAATAGAGCAGCATGTTACCTAAAGGAAGGAAACTGCAGTGGCTGTATTCAAGATTGTAACAGGTAAACTGCCGTTTTCAGTTTTGTCAAGAGATTGTTATGTCAGTGTGCTGAGTACAGTATTTACTGTCCTCCTAGGTTTTCTGCATGAGTCTTAATTTCTTAAGGCAGTTTTAAGGTATGTTAACTGATACAAAAAAGTCAAATTCTTTTTCACATATGAAAATAGTTATAGAAGATTGTGCAAACTTTCCATTTCCACTGCTACCACTTTAATTCATGCCCTTTCTATATCAATCCTAGACTACTGGAGAAGTCGTCTAACCACTCTCTGCCTCCTCCAATCCACTGTGGCATCGGAATAACTTTTCCTCAAGCACTGTTTTGTTCAGACTGTTTCAAACAGGTGTTTACTTACTCAGTTTTGTCTTCCAGATAATTATAAATTCCTGTCACCATGTTGCCCCCAAAACAAGCTTTCTGCTCTCATGTGGTCCACTGTAATATGCTCTGCACGCCTTTGCTTCTGAAATCCCTGCTCAGCTGCCCGCTCCGCTCGCCCGCCTGGTCACCTTCAGACTCCTCCGTCATCTTCACATCTATAACACTTGTGCTGTCATTGTGTCATCCACTGCATTGGATTTTAAGCTCTGTGAGATCAGGAACCATGTTTTATACAACTTTGCATCTCAAGCATAGTAGTCACCCATGGTACTCAACCATTTATTTACATGCTGAGATAGAGGAACATATTTACACATGAATAATAAGTATTGTTTTCTTTTACCATTAAGTAATAAGCCTGCTTCAGGAGTCCTTTGGAAAGAAGCTACTATTAGTGCATCTAAAAACTAAAAGTCATTATGTCTTGGTTTTACCTCCACAGTCCTGGTTTACTCCTTTTATCTGGTATAATTATTAGTATCACACCCTTTTCACTCTCAGAAGCCAGAAGCCCTAGTTTGGGCAGTAACTTCTGTGGACACCCTATTTATAAGGCGAACAATTGATTTTTTTCATTGGTGGTGTCAGTTTATTGATATGCGTTAAACTTGGTAGGATCTGTGCCTACAGTTTAAAAAGAAGGTCGAGGCACTCGGAATTTTTGCCAGTTTTACATATTTGAATTTTAAATAAATGTTTATGTTCACTCTGCCCAACTTTAGACCCCATCCACTATTGTGCTAGTTCACACTAGCCAGTTGTTACAGTTTCAGGATTTTGAGTTGGTCAAAGTCAAATTGGTAACCTGAAGTCAGCCACGGTTAGAGTACTGATACTGTAAAAATAGGCAAATGCCTCATCAGGAAAGCAGGATGTTAAACATTTACCCTGACCTAAGTAACCAACAAGACTGTAGATTTGCAGAATATCAGACATGTTGTGATTGGCAGCCAAGAACCTGTGAGAGCTAAAAAAAATAATAATAATACTTTTCCTCCCACTGTCTAAGTCCTTCTAGCTGGGCTAATCAAATTAACAGAGACAGATTAATAAGAGAAAATGAAATTTTAATACATGTGCATGGAGAATTCACATAAGCATGAAAATTCCAAAGACAGGTAAAATTGGGTATATATGTTACTTTGGGTAAAAGAGAAGGCGGGAGATGGAATCATAGATTTCAAAAGTGAGAGGAATGTACATGGCAGGTATAAATATTTGGTAGGCAACCAAGAAACAATGAGATACAGGTAGGGAGGGATTTGGTGAACAGGACCCTGCTTGAGGCTGTCCTGTCTACCATACTTAATTCTTTTGTAGAGTAGGTTTTTCTATCTGAATCTCCTGTGCAGGAAAAGGGGGAGAGTCAAAGGTTCTTTCTGAGTCTTTTGTTTCTTAATAACCAGCTTAAAAATCAGTATCCCAAAAGGTATAGTTTTTTGACAAAACTTTGGTTCCCTTCAAACTTTTCAGCTCAAGTGTCTCTGGCTAATACATTACTTTTGTCTTTGGTATTCCTGCAGTGCTCAGGACTCCATTTAAAACCCAGGACCTCCAAGGGCTACTGTAGAAGTGGACTCATTTTGTCCTTAAGTGAGATCATTTCAGGTGGCATTTTCTTGCTAACACTCCTGTTTCAGTGAAGACCCAGGAGGAAGTTAAAGACGGCTTTGGCCACGGTGTCCAGGGAGGCTAGAATGGAAGTTTGTCTTGAGATGGCCTGCTGGGGAGGGGGTGTCCTTAGGTAAGAGTTGTGTTCTAGGCCAAGTACTGAACTCCATAGGGACTGACTTAATTAGTTGTTTTCTTTACCTGGCATATGGATGCCAGCATGAGAGGAATAGGGGGATTTTACTCCAAAGCAGCTCTTCTCAAACTCATGTTAATGCCAGAAAAACCATGATTTGCTATTGCGAACATGTTGAAATATGGGTGTATTTAAATTTGTATGAGCTAGGAATCATTTATTAGCAGAAATATGACTGTTTTCACTTCAAAAGATTGCATACATTTTAAAGGAAGCCTGTTTTTTAATTTTTCAGTTAATTATCTCTGTTCTTTGGAGAATTGTTTTGTGTATGAGCCTTTATTACAGTATAACTGATAGCAGGAGTCAAACATTGAAAATGAAAAACTCATGGCAAAATTTAAAAGGGAGCGGGGAACCTATGAAATAACTTTCATATATTTACCTATGAAAATAACTTTTATGCATTTTGGCGAAAAGTATTTGACTTTAAGTATATCAACTCTTCAGGCCTACTCTGAAGCACTCCCTCTGAGATGTTTTCCCAGGGGCACATGAAGAGAATTACCATTGTGAGTGTAAGGAGTGTTTAAGGAGCTCAAAGGGCTCCGGGCGCTGGCCCTCTCCTCACTTCTATTTTAGGCTTCCAGGTGAAACATGAAATGGGGTTATGATGCCTAAGCAAATGTTTAAAAGCTTTATTCTAGAAATTCCTTTCTGGTTCTTATCATTGTTTATCAGCTTAAAAAAAAAAAGAACTTTCTCATCCATTAGAGCAGATGTCCCCAACCCCTGGTCTGCAGACTGGTTCTAAGCAAAAGGTGAGTGGCAGGCGAGAGAGCGAAGCTTCATCTCTGTTTGCAGCCGCTCCCCAGCGCTAGCCTCACCGCCTCAGCTCCACTTCAGATCATTAGACATTAGATTCTCATAGGAGCACTGGTCCCTGGTGCCAAAAAGGTTGGGGACTGCTGTGTTAGAGAACTTTTTTGGGTTATCTAAACCGCACCAAAAATCTTTCAGTGGCTTTCCACTGAGGTTATTTTGATAGGTTCAGTACAAATGACTGATGCCTAGTAATTCTCTGTTTTGCTCATCTTTGCTACTCTCTGACAAGAGTTGAAATTAGAAGACTGTTTAGGGCATAACTGTGTGAACTTGAATAGTTAAGCTTTTGTAAACTCCGGTTTAAAAGTGCTCTGTGTTTTTATGAATGGATGCTTTTTTTTTCCTTTATTCCTTTGTGGAATTTCCATTTATAAGCCCATATTTATTTTCAGGATTGTGGTTAAAGAGAAAAATATCTTGCATTTACTAGGCTGAGGAGTGCTAAAAATTAGTAGTCTGTTAATACCCTATAAGCATTAAACTAAGCTAGATTTAAGTGAGTGGTGCAGGTGATAGATTCTGGTGCCCAGAGATCTGTTTTCTAGTGGTTAGGTGTTTTTACTTGATTTTATTTTTATTTTTTATATAACTTACTGGTTACAAAAGTAACATGCCTATTATAGAAAAAAAATTTAAAACCCAGTACAACACAAAATGAGATTAAAATCACCCATAATCCTAACACCTAGGCAGAGCAAATTGGTTATTTTTCAGAGAAATGAAGCTAATTAAGCTTAATGACATTTCTAGAACAACTTCTGTGGTGCAGACTACAAGAACACACCCACATGTGCAGTTCAGTGTCTGTACACTGGAGAATTGTGAAGGGGTACAAGTGGCCGATGACTCCGAATTTCTTTATTTGTAGTGTTTTCGTATATGTTTGTGGTAGAAAGAATGTAGGCCCTGAAGAGTGCCTCTGTGGCCCTGGTGTGGATCTAGGCACTGGGAATGTAGAGGTGCTCTAGACAGGCAATGCTCTTGCCTTCCCGAAGCTTAAATTCAAAAGAACTGACATGTGGGCAGATTGCTCCATTTGTCTCTCCATTTCCTTACCTGCAAAGTGAACATAATACTTACTTTGCAGGCTGGTTGTGAGATTGGATGAGAAGGTCTGTAGTCACTAGCAAGTAGCAGATGTTCAGTCAGAGCTTTCTCGCCAGATCACTGTAGACAAGAATAGACAGCAGATCTCCAGTAATTTGGGGGGAAAAATAAAGCAGCCCTTGCTCATGCTTTTCCTGAAGCAAAGTAAGTATCTGACATGTACACTGCTTGTCACATAAGAATTAGCCAGGAGAGCAAACCTGCAGTCCCCAACGTGGACAGCCTGGTGCTTACTTTTTTAGTGAGTTATACAGGAAGTAGGCTCTTCATAGGATCTCTGCACGGAGTCCAGAGATATTTACAGTTTGGGTTAATTTTATGAAAACTAAGAATACAGAAGTTTAATTTATAAATATAATCTTAATTATATGTTTTATTTCAGAATATAATGAAGTATATTAAGTAGTGGAGTAGCTTTAAACCATTACTTCAAACAAAACCAAGGAACGTAACCTTGAAATTATCTCTAGTGATATTGGAAATACTTCATAGACTAAAAAGTGAAAGATGAAAGTTCATGACTTTCTTCCTTGATTCCCTCTGGTCTATTTTTGAAGCCCCTTGGCAGCAAGTAAATCTTAATAAAGCGTATTAGGTTTTAGAGGGCTGATTTTCAAATAGTGATGCAAATTTTTGTGGTTCTGTGCTAAGATGCCTTATTAAATACATATGTGCCAATAAAAACTTTCCTTTTAATTTGTCAGTTAACAAGAATCAGCTGAAAGCCTATTTTTTTGTGCCTGGTGCCATGGTGGGCTTTGTTAGGGTGCAATGTGGGGTGAGGGTACAGGGGGCTGTGAGGGCGGTGGGGTGGGGGTTAGGGG